AACTTGTTGTACAAAAATAAAGCAAGTGCAAAAAAATGATGCAAGACAGCCTCCAAAGGAAGCAAGACTTATGTTTTACAGTAGAAAAGGCATATTGAAATCTTTTCATGTGTTTTAATGTTTTTTTCAGATTTGCACTGAACACTGACTGAGGGCGTTATTCTTTAACATGGGGGTAGCTAAAAGTGTGTCAGAACATTTATTGTGAAAAAATATCCAATGATATACTAAAATACAATGTGTTTTTTTTTTTTAATACAATGTGTTTTTGGCTATTGTTTTTAAGGGAAATCCTTGTGAAAATAAGAATTTTTCTGTATCACTTTTAAAAGTTTGCCTGTGATGGGCAGTCAGCTACATACAAAATTGATTTGATGTTTGTTTATCAATTCTATGTGATAACTCAGGAATATTTCTATTTTAATGTTCTATTGTTATCATGAAATTTTAGACATCTTTCTATTTTCATGTGAATATCTATACTACAGAAGGTAATAATTTTCTCTTTCAAACTATGTACATAATTTGAACATATAGTATGAATTTTAAGAAAGATCCAATGTAAGATTTTCTTAGATATAGACCAATGTTCATTTACTTATATTTATCCAGATTAAAAATTTCCAATAAAATTGTCACTATAACTCAGTAATTTACTTTTAAAATGTCAAAATTAAATTACTCTTATTCTGTGATGCATAAAATACATTAAATATTGATTTCTACCAAATTTGATTTACTTATGAAAGTAAACTTTTGGTTGGCTCATTTATGCTGTCTGTTTTGTCACAGAGCATAGGAAATGATCTAACTTTTGTACCTTCAAAGTCTTGTTCCAAATTTAGTGTAAAAGCAACCAGAAATCATGAGAATAAATGTTGCTGCTGAAACTGTAATACACTATGCATTTGCCAAAGGTGCCATGCTCACGTATCAGATATCGATGACTTACTTAACAGCAATGTGTTGTCTCACTGTTCCAGAAGAAAAAGGGCTAAATATAGATGTCCACAGAAACATATCCTTTCTGGACATTAAGGATACATTGTTCATCTATATTGTGAAGGGAATGGTTGAAAGAAATATCTGTTTCACAGTTCTCCCAATGTTCTGCTTGTCTTTTGGCATCATTTGACCTATGACTTCATCCTACAGATCTCTGCCCTCATCTTCATCCCGTGTACTCCAGGTCTCCCTGTGTGTTGTCTTCAGATTTCTAACTTGTGGAAGAATAACATTCATTATCTTAAGGGTCCACACTAACAATCTGAACTCAAAAATATACATATTTGAAAGGCAGAATTCCATTGAGTGGGAGAGAAAGAGATCTTTCTTCCTGTGGTTCATTTCGCAAATGGACACAGACTGAAATCAGGAGCCAGGAATGTCATCTGGGTCTCCCACATGAATGACAGGGATCCAAACATTTGGGCAACCATCCCCTGCCTTGCGATGTGTATTAGCAAGGAGCTAGATGGGAGGTAGAATAACCCTATTTGAGCTAGAACTGCGATATGTGATGCTATTGTCAATGACCTCTTCTTAAATAATTATATCTAACAAAGCACAGTTTCCAAATAATGTCACACACTGCGAAGGACTAGTGTTCAGGAGCTCACCTGTCAAATGACAAGGATATCTAAGAATAAATGCATAAAGATACGTTGATAAAAATTTTTAACTATACCTAGTGCATTTAGGAAACTGTCACAGAATAATTGTACCACCGACTTTAGCAACTTAAATAATGAAGATTTATTTCTCACAGTTCTGATGGCTGGGAAGTCCAAAATGAAAGCAGAGGCAGACCCAATGTGTGGTAATGGAAGGTCACCTTCCTATGGTGTCCCCGTATGACACAAAGGGTCAGAGCTCTCCTGGGCCTCTCCGACAAGGTTGTCATCTAGCTCATACACGCTAGCTCATATGTGCTTTATTCTTATAAACTATTAGTGTTACAAAGTGTCATTTCTAAAGAGCATAATATGAGGGGTCAGGATTTCAACATGCAAATGTTACAAAAATACAGAACTTGCATCTAAAGCAATGAGCACTTATGAAGAACCCTTTCTAATGTAAAAGGACTTAAATATTTTCTAGCTAGATTCCAAATGAAGCAGAAATAGATGAACATATTTTTGCTTTGCCTGAAACTCCTTTATCAATATCCTTGCAAGCAGTGTTTGAACTACCGATAAAGGGAATTTCTCTTTCTTCCCTATGATGTATGTCCCCCTGCTATATTCTTTGGCATTCTGGCTATTTTTAGACTATCCTGTCCATGTGTGTATGCTCCTTTCAACCAGCCTTCTGTGAAAAATGGCACCCTGATGTCTGCAGACACTGCCACAGTATATTACAGGAGACAATTTGCTCCTCTTAGCTTCACTCACAAATAAAATTGCCAAGTACTCATGATATCTACTGTGCAAAGATGCATGTGGCTATTAATGGCCAAATTTTTGTACAAAAATAGAGTTATATTTTTTCTCTACCTGCTTCACTGCGCTACTTAAAATTTATGTTTTTATTTGAAAGGTAGAGATAAGCAGAGACAGAGATCTTCCACTTACCAGTCAATGCCACAGATGGCTGCAGAGGCTTAGGATGCACCATGCATTAGCCAGAATTAGGTCTCTCACTTCATTGGCATGAGCCTACACAATCGGGTCCTCCTTTGCTGCTTTGCCAGACGATTAGCAGAAGCCTAGATGGACAGTGAAGCACCCCGAACTCGAATCAGCAGTTGCTGTGTAAGCATCCATCGATAACACCATCCTAGATCTCACTATGTAACTCTCAAGGCTCACTCAGCAAGTTACACTTTTATGGACACAGGAAGCCCTATGCTACCATATTCCAATCCAACTTACTTTCATCCACCCCTTTCCCAAAACCTCTGGGAAACAATTTTTGTCCATTTCTAAAATGATATAATTTCAAGAATATTCTATAAATGGAAACTTAAAATACATACAAGTTTGAGTTTAGGCTTTTTTCCGTGAGTGTAATACTATAAAGATTTATCCAAAATTTTGAGGGTATCAATAGTCTTGTCATTTTTATTGTAAGCAATATTTCATAGTATTCACGCACCACATTTATTAAATAATTATTCTTTTGAGAACATCAGGTTAGTTTTATGGGGCACTCCATTGTGAATAACTTAATATCTATAAATAGGATATTACACAGAACTAAGTTTTCCTGTATTTGGTAAAAACACGTAAGTACTAGCTACTGGACTGCATAATAAATATGTTTTATCATTTTCTCAGCATCCTTGACAGCTATCAGCATCGTGCTTATCGGTTTATAATTCAAGGTCATTTCTAAGTAGGCATAGCAATTGTTTTCTGAGTACATATTACTGATAACCATATCTCTTCTTATACTCTCAGGGTAGAAATATTATGAATCCAGAATTATAGTTGTTGAGACTCTATATTTTATTATCTGCTAATTAGGATCATTATGTGAAGAGACATTGGATGCTAAAGCATTCAAAGCTGAAATTTGCCATTGTTTCATGTGTGTGTGTGAAAAGAGTATATTTACAACTAGGGAGCTGGACGCAGTTTAGCTGAACCCAGTTTTGTTGGCGACATCCAGAGCCTCCTAATCAGGATTCAGCTGCACACCCACCTTGCTTTCTCCATCAGGGCTGGTCAGGGAACTGACAGTGGCCGCCATCAATGTCATAGAGCTTCTTCGCAGCTTCTTTGATATGGTGCTTGTTGGCCTTGCCAGACAGAACGAACATGAGTGTGTTGTTGTCCTTTGGCTTCTTCGTAGCAGACTCCTGTTGGGGGAACTTGGGGATGGCATGGTGGTCAAGCGTGTTTCTCCTGAGGGTCTTTGGGCTGCTGTGAGGCGGGTGGCATGTGGATCTCCTCGTGGCTGTGGACAGCTTTCAGCACCACCTTCTGGGCTTCAGCGCCTTCACTCTGGCTTCAGCTTGGCGCGGGGCAGGGGCTTCCTACATCGTTTTTGTTGCCATCTTGGTGAAAAGGGTCGTCAATGTTTCTATACTTCTGTATCACAGTGAATGTAAAATTTCATGTTTACTTAATTGCAATATTTTGTTCTATGCATATTTCAGTAGAAATTTTGGAATCGTATGGAATAAAAAACTAAGTTACTGCTGTTAAATGATTCATCAAGCGCATTTGAACAACAAATGCAAAGACTTATTAATTCTACTGTAATTGTGTATTTCTCAATAGACGATTATCATGTGACAATTGCATGAGTTTCATTCAGGAATGACTGCAATGCAGATGCATCTGATTATGTAAATTATATAAAATATAAGCATAATAATATCAGCATAATAGATTTACTAATGCTACCAGCTTAAGCATAGTATTTTACATTTTATCAATTATTTTATAATGTATTTTAGTGCTCAAAAAATCAATGACATAGGCATATTACTACATCCATTTTAGAAAGCTAATTATCCTAATATCATAAAGAAGCCACTGAAAGTATGAAACTAAATCCTAGGGGACCAATTATGGAATTCACTAATAGTTCAGGTAAGAATCAAAAGGGCTTGAATGAAGGAAAAGGACTTGATTTCTCTTTTGATATTGTTAATAATTCCACATCAACCTACCCTCCTTAACACTTTAATCACAAAATCTTTCCACACGTGGTTTGATGAAGAGTCATGATGTCTACTTGGTGTTCTCTCACCATACTCTTGATTTAACAAGACAGTTAGGACCAGTTACGCCGTCAATCCAACATAACCTTAGCAGCACACAGAGGGCAACATTACAGTATCTGAGAATAAATTTCTTTCAGACTTTCAATGTGTGTGTTGGCAAGGGGAAAAAACAGAATGTATTTGATATAGACACTTAAGAATTAAATTTGGCAGGATGCATCTACTCTAGTGCTCCATAGAGATTTCAGTAAACGCATTTTCTGTGTTCAGAATAACCCTACTATAAGTGTATCGCACACTAAAACCTGTTTTCCTGAATGCATAGGTACCTCTGTCATACAGGTGACAGCTACTGATGCAGACGACCCCACCTATGGCAACAGTGCTCGAGTGGTTTACAGCATCCTCCAGGGGCAGCCCTACTTCTCAGTGGATCCCAAAACGGGTGAGTGCACCGATATGAAATTCTGTGCAACTATTTCAACACTAAAAGTCTGAGTGTTACTGTGGATATGGTTTGTCAAACTTCATCTTATATCTTTATCAAATCAATGGCTAATGATCTTTGATTATTTGAAATTTAATGTTCATGAGTAAAAAGGCCTTCTTTTCATCAGATTACGGTTTATGGTCCTTGCCTATGTTCCCTCAATGATCTTTTAATTTTTTTTAGTTGTTACTGCAGAACATTAAACCTTTGAGTATAATATTAATTACAAGCATTATTTCAAAAACTAAGAGAAAAAAGAGAGACAGAGAGTAAGGGAGGGAGGAGGGCAGACAGGTAAGCAAAAAGGGAGGGAGAGAAAAGGAGAAAAGGATGAAAAAGTGTCATGTCCATGGAACTGAATCTAGGAACTCATTTGAAACGTTTGTATTGGATTAGAAAATAAATTGTAAACCAAATAAAACAGTCATCTTAGAGTAAGCAATGTTTTTTCTATTTTCTCTACTTCACAGATATTATATACCCATTAATGCTATTTTTCTGAACCAATTATTATAACTGAGTAAATAAAAATGCTTTGTCATTGTTTTCAATAGCACTATTACAAATATTTTTATCAGTGAATATTCTGGTAACATTTCTGTGTATTTTCTGTTTAAAATATGAAGTAGCACATATGTACAAATTAATTATCAATGACACTCTTCCAATTCCATATTAGTTCTTGTTAAAAGTTTGGTACACAGCGTTTGACTTTGGTAGTCCCATCTGCACACATGTGTGTGTGTGTGTATGTGTGTGTGTGTGTGTGTGTGTGTCTGTGTCTGTGTCTGTGTCTCTGTATATTTTGGGTATATTATATTGAGTGAAGTGGTATAATTTGAATTTACTTTCTGGTGAGCAAATTCTTCAGTTCTTATGCCTTGTTTTCTAGAAAGGAAATTGAGGGCTAAAGATATAAAAAATATTTTATTGAAAAATACATTTTCTTTTCTCATCTTTCCAAACTCTAAGCCAAAATAAATGGTACTCAGTAACAGAGGGTTTGATACAAGAACGAAATGCAGTAAGTATAAGAGTGCATGTCCTCAATGGCAATTAATTGCTAAAAGTGTGCAAATATTAACCTATTTTAATTAGATAAGTGTGGATTAGCAATCAAGGCTAGAGTTTCATGAAGATTTCAAGAATCTCATTAATGATTAGAAGGTGAGAGCAGCAGTGGGCTGTGGTGTTCTAGAAGCCCGTTAGACCCTTCTTCTTCTTAGCAGACATACTCTGATTTCAATAGGCATGTGGAACTGCGCATGAAGACCACAGCTCCAAAACTGAACCTAGAAGAGAACCACATGATTATCTCTTTCTAGTAATACAATTACATAGCCTACTGCTCACTACTCAGGGAATCTTCCTGGCGATTAAAAAATCCTTAGGACAAATGAATTCACTTTAAATTTTGCTTAGAAAGGAGTGGAGTACAATACTAACAATGAAAAAGTAAAAGAAGTGTTGCACTGAAAGGCATATAACACCATGCAAGGGTGGGAGATCGCAGTCACCATGGTTTCACAGCACAGGATTCATAATTCCATTTCATCGTGTTTCCAGCTATTCTCATTGAAGAGCGATTATAGTGAGCATAGCTTCACACCCAGGTAGAATTGTGAGTGTATACTGCTCATATCATTCTTGTTTTAACTGCCTCATTTTTATTTTGTTAAAATGCACAATTTAATGCTACTCTGAATTTTCATTGATGAGATGACAATCCCCTTAAATGTAACCAGTTGCCAACTTCCTGTTGAATAAGTATAAGTGGTTATCATCACAGTGATAACTTGCAGCTATTGAGATACTATATCATAAAGAATTCATTTCATAATATTTGAATCTTTTTAAGCTGCAAACCCATTATCAGTATTGGAAACAGAACTTGTATGCATAATTTATCATTTTAAATAACATGAAACATTTATTTCATTTGCTCAATATAACACAAAAGAGATATGGACATTAAAAGTGGTGCTTTCATATCAACTACAACTCAAATGTACAAAACACTATCAAAATAAGATATAAAAGATACATTCTGGATATATTAATGCAAATATTTTATAACATTAGTAAATAAAAGGGGCATTTTAATATTCATATAATTAGCTGACCATAGATTACTGAGCCATATATTCAGTTTAATATCTAGGTACTTCATTTAAACGTATGACTCATTTTTATAATGTATTTGTAGCTAGTCAATATTCATTTTGAAACTATAACCAGAAATAGCATTTATATCAATATTTTCTGCAGCTAGCATTCCAATACATAAAATGGGTAAGATCAGGCACTATCTTTAAATTATATATAAACACACTTCATATTTTATCTTCCCAGTTCTCTTAGTGCATTTAGAATTGTCTCATTACATGATGATAAAAGAGTAGTCGTTAAATATCAAATGTCTTGTCAATCTCTTTAGTTAATAGCATCCATCTCCCAGTTTAACATAATTGATATAAAATAAAATACAATGTTATTAGTTATTTATAGTTCCTAAAGCAAAAGTCAGATTGCAAATTTTAGGTTGGCGTTCACCCAAAAGTAAGAAATGTGTTAGGCTCACATTATACTTTGATTACTATGTTAATATAAACACAGTGAAATTTATATTCTCCTTTTCCAAAAATACTAAATTTTATTAAAAAACAACTTCAGAATACTTTATGCTCAAGTCTTAGAATTCAACTTATTGTTTTAGTACATGGATCAAGTTACAAAAATGTTATGATCTTGCCTTCATGTGTGTAAATTTAGAATGACAATGCCTAAATCCCAATGAGCAAATTAATGCAGTGAATTTAGTCGCATCCTTGGAAAATATAGTTAAACAACAAATCTCTGCTCTTGCCTTTCTTGTTGAAGTATAAAAACGATGTGCTAGACCATCATGAGAGTTTGTCACAATCTTTTATTGTTTACAAAATATTTTATTTGTAAGATCTATTTAGTCCAAATTCCTTTTTTAAAGTAAGGTTTATTTTTATTGCAAAAGCAGGTCAGATTTACACAGAGGAGGTGAGACAGAAAGATGTTCTATTCACTGGTTAACTCTGCAAGTGCTGTGTCCAGAACTGAGCTGATCTGAAGCCAAGTGCCAGGAGCTTCTCCTGGGTCTCCCTTGAAGATACAAGGTCCCAAGAGTTTTGGCCATCCTCTACTATTTTCCCAGGCTGTAAGCTGGATGGGAAGCAGAGCAGCCAAGAAAGGATATCCATATGGGATACAAGTGCTTGGAGGTGGAGGATTTGCCAGTTGAACATGCCAGCCCTGGTTTAAATTCATTAAGGCATTGTTTGAAAAAAAGAAGATACCTTTTGTGAACTGTAATTAAATTTTCCCCAGCATCTCTTAAAGAAATCAATTACAAATATCATCAGTAGAATATACTATTACAAAATTAGGTTCCCAGCTGTAGCTGAAGCCTAGGTTGCATTATACCCAGGCAGGTGTTACTGGGTGGTTTCGAAGGGGAAGTCAGGGCCTTTGAGGGCTAAACCAATACACCCACCCACATGGGACACCTGAGCTGGGATTATTGATATTAGCCACCAACTTCTGGCGCACACAAGAGTCATGATGTGGTTTGCATGGCAGTACTTGACCACAGAACCTGCTAGCGAGTGTCAGGGCAGAGTGTGGACATGTTAGGCTGTGCCACAACAATAACCAGATTACCACAAAACTGAATCTGGGAGCAGGTTCTGTGGGGGATTTGGGGCTCACCCTTGTGGGACTGTTGCACCAGATGGCATGCTTGAGGACTGAGGTGATAATGGGCTAAGCTAGGCATGACTATGGAATTTAACAACATTCATGGGTACTGGGGTTGAGAACAGGCTGTAGCACCTGCAAGAACTGGGTGTGGAAAGGGCCAGGCCAAACTATTCACCAGCACACACAAAGGCTGACACCGGGGGATGGATTGTAGGTAAGTGCCCAACATCCGCTGGCATGTGTGAGATCTGGGTTTGGGAGTGGGCCCGATGGGGAAACCTAAGAAACTCCCCTCATGGGCCATTGCTCCTACTGGTGAGCACGTATGTCAGGGCTTGGTGTCGGTCAAATCAGGCAGGGCTGTTTCACTTGTTAGTTGTCTTTGTGGCGGCGGGGTGGTGGGGTGGATCAGGCAGGGCCATGCCAAATCACAACACAAGCAAGGATGGGGTTAAGGGCCGTGCTGGGCTAGGCTAGGCTAGGCTGTCATAGTTCCTGTTTTGCATGAAAGCCAGAGCTAGAGCAAGCTAGGCAGGACTAGGTTACAGCACCCACCAGCTGGTGTTAGGACTAGGGATAGACCAGAGCAGGCCAGTCTGCAGCGTCTGATGGCAAAGGCCAAACTGGATGTTGGGTTATGCTGGCTGAGTCAGAATACCTGCTGCTGGTCACAAGAGTCAGGTTAGGTGTAGGGCAGACTGGGCTAGGTCTCTGCATCCACTGAACCATGCAAGAGCTGCATCTGGGAGTGAACAAGGCAGAGTTGGGCTGTAGTGAGTATCAGCTTGTCAGGCAAGGCCACGGTTCTTTCCAGGACAGGAGATTGGCCAAGTCAGGCAAGGCCAAGGTCCCACCAGTGTGAGGAAGAACTGCAACTGGGAGGCCACCTGATAGATGGTAACTCCTCTGTTCACGATACAGTCCCTGCAGCTGAGCACAAGAGCCAAGACTCGGTGCAGCACAGACTAGACCAAGTTATGGTACCCACTGATGGATGCCAAAGTGAGGTGAGCCCTGCAGATCTGGGCCAGAGCTGCCACCAGCACATGTAAGACCCAAGATAGGGGACTACCCCAGCAGAGGAGCTGTGGGGACTCTCCTGCTGGCCACTGCTCCTGCTGATAAGTTTGAAGGCTGGGGCTGGAGGAAGATCAGACCAGGCGGGGCTACTACACCCATTGGTCTGTATGTAAGCTGGTTCAGGAGGAGAGCCAGGCTGGACT